ACTCCCGCTGGGAGATGGGAGGATGGAATCCAGGTTCCACCCCCACCACCTGGGCCACCCTGGGCGAGAGGTGCCTTCCGGGGCCTCCACCTCCTCTGCAAAGTGGGGCTGAAACCCTGATTCCCAGGGTCCAGGTGAGCACTGGTGAGCCCCTCCGTGGGACAGACGTGGCCTCACGCCTGTCGCTGCTGCTGTGATGGAGGTGGGGGGACGCGGGAGGAAAGGCAGCTCTAGAAAGGCCGACGGAGCCACACAGGACACAGCCCTCAACCTCACGCCCGACTGGTCACGTGACAGCAGTGAACCCAGCTACTGCCAGGGGCCGCTTATGCCCGTGACTCTGCGCTACAGGTCTGGGCGTCGGGGACTAAGCAGAGCTACACGCGAAAGGTAAGTCAGTCACCGTGTGACATAACTTTACAAGAGTAAAGAGGCGGAAGACCGAAGATTCAGGACAGTGATCACTTCCTGGCAGGGCCGCCGGGGGCAGGACCGGGGACAGGACTGGGGATTGGTGCCCCATGAGCTAGAAGGCGGGTTCCTGAGATTTAAAAAGAATTAAAAAACTAAATAAATGAATAAATAAAAAGAGACGGGCTACTGTTTGGCACCGAGGTGCCCGGTCCACCCCGACAACAAGCATGGGTGTTGAGGAGGGACGCGACAGAGAACCATGGAGAGACGGGCGACCCAAGTGACACGGGGGGGACTGTCCCTTTACTAGCAAAGACCCTCTTCCGACCATGAGATGAGCAAGTCTCAGGCTTGTCCAAGCACCGTCTTCACACTTCGTAGCTGGATGGACCCAAGGCACCTGAGAGCCTTAGCAGACGACACCAAATCTCGCGGAGTTTCTGATTCACCAGCTGGGCAGCCTCTTTCCAGGCTGAGCCTTGGGCCGGTCCCTCCCCACCGGCCACAGTGCGGCAGAGCTCAGGGCTGCAGAGAGCACGGCTGACCTGGCCCCAGGGCTGGGCTGGGGCCCGGCTAGCGACCAGCCTCGCGGCCACACCCCCCACTCTGCGCACGGACGGTCCCTCTTGT